ACAGGTGTAGCGCATATTTTACCGTGACTGATTTTGTATCAAATTGTCGTGTGTCTTGGACTATGACTTATTTTGCATCCAGTTGATTTTGTATTAAGGTGTAGCTTCCATTACCGTGCCTGTTTTGTTTGATTCTGGTAATTAATTAATGTACGTTTTGTGCTGGAATAATCGATTCTAATTAATGATTCCAATCAGGCCATTCTTTGATGTCGACTTTTGAAAGCCGATAATCTCAAACCCGCCCATACACGTGTCTACAAGATTAACTACAACTACAGTTCACAAACAGAATCCTTTGTCAAACACTGTGGTAAATGTGAAAGTTATAATATATATTGACATGATAGAATATACTAGTAGGTAAACACTGAAGTAAATGAGTATGAACATCCCTTTCGATGCCTTGGTGTTGTATTGATCGGGTGCCTTTGTTGATGGGCGTTCTAATGTCCGAACATCCGGTAACCAGAGACAGCCATTGATGAGGTTGCCTTTCCTACCGTCTGTTGTATTACGTTTCACCTAGTGAACAGCAAACAAGTTTCTAAAAAAGTATAAACAGAATTGTTATTGGTCGTTATAAAGTATAACGTCTACATACTCGTTGGACTGGTACAAACACTCTCAGATTTGTAAACTTCTGACTAACATCTCAATTGGTAAACAGACCATGTTTTTCCTTAGTTGGAATCGGCTGTATGAGAACAAGTAAATCATTGATGACGCTGTAATTACAGAGCTCGTGTCTTGGTTCCCTCTACGTCCTTGTGTGGGTTTTGTTTACTATCTTTAAGCCTGGATCATCCCTACCGTCCCCTTTACAGTCATCAAGGTTATACCCACTGATTACGCCGTTACGAACCACGTAGGCGTCATATACTGTCCTACTGTTTCTATATTCAGAAATGAGTTCTCTGTACAAAATTTGCGGGGTAAAAATCAGTAGTACAAGAATGGTTTACACAGGTAAAAATGGCGTTGGGATTTAGATCCTTGGTTCTCACTAAAAAGTCGAATAGTAGTTCGCTATCCTTTATACATTAGTAGACACTCAATCCAAGCAGAATAATAAATAGGAGTACATGTTTATGTAGCATCAATAGCGCCATCATGTTTAGCATATTAAACAGGGGTAATGCGCTAAACGTCCATGGAAATGATGAGTAACTCGAATAAAAAGTAGTTTATTTTATTAATCGAAAATGAATGATAAAGTGGGTGGTTGAATAACATTGTTATAAACAGTTCATATATTACACGTGAGGGGAAACAAGATTAAAAATCAACAAAACATTGGATGGAATACCGGTGTGAAAGACTCTATGTGAAATGTATTAATATACCATTACAATGAAAATATCACATGGATCTGCGTCCAGACCGTGAGCCGTGTCTGCTATAGCGTCGGGGCCGTCCCTCGGGCACGTGCAGGATAGGTAGGGGTGGTAACGGGAGTGAGGGGTGGAGCCAAGCTGGACATAACGCGTGCGCAGACATCACGTATATAGCAAATATGCTAGACAAGACCTACCTAAATGTACAAATCCTACTTAAATATACAAATCCTACCGAAGTACACAAAGCCTACCTAGGTATGCTCATCCCTACCTGAAAATCGTAGTTCTAAGAATATGCGGAGTGAAAAATAAATTAAACTAGTTTTATCAGAAGTGAATTAAATATATATCTTCACTATTTCAATTGATTAGCTTTGGAAAAATGTATCAACAACATATCTGTATTTATCACATTCAACATTAATGCTCGTTTTAAACGAATAAAGTCATTTAAAAACCTTTATCTTTATGTTTAAATGCTGCTGTAGCGAAAGATAATAGTGACTATCTCTAAACTATAAAATAGTCAGAGCTATCTGTTAACACAGTATGGATATGTTAAGAACTATCTGTTTACACATCATAGGTGTAATCAGAGCTATCTGTTAACACAGTATGGGTATGTTAAGAACTATCTGTTTACACATCGTAGGTGTAATCAGAGCTATCTGTTAACACAGTATGGATATGTTAAGAACTATCTGTTTACACATCATAGGTGTAATCAGAGCTATCTCTTAACACAGTATGGGTATGTTAAGAACTATCTGTTTACACATCGTAGGTGTAATCAGAGCTATCTGTTAACACATGGGTATGATATAAAAAATCTTAAAAGTCTTACATTTCTAAACATGACACTTCAAGTGAACAGAGATAAATATTGCACAATTAGGCGACTGTGTAGTTTAAGTATTATAGAAAGACGTTCTATCACGTGACCGGAAGTTGTTAAACTTACTACATATTGACAACAGCTAACAATTACTTAGTGTTAGCCCAAATATCACACTTGGATCAAGGTCAAAATTCAACATTGATTGGATGTGAAATGTTGATAAAGAAATAAAAAACAACCAACATTAAGAGATCACTTAGTCATTTGAAGCTTTTTTCATCTATCATCAAGGCGCGAAATTTTATATCAAGAAATTACATAAATAATACACCCATAGGTAATTTAACATTACCAAACTTTGCCATTTGAAAATTCATTAACAAGTGGAAATTTTGTGTGTACCAACACTGTGATTGGTCACTTGTCAGTAGTTCCTCGTTTCCAGTGAAAAGAGGCAAATCGTATCTTAACATGTGATATCAAATATAATATATATATATATAGTCCCAAGGTTTAAGATACAGTTGTAACAATGTTACACCTATTCTTGAACAAAGCTGACATGTTAGTCACACTGGTATGGTGTGAACCTATGTGATTTACCAGTCTTTAGAAGACACGTGATGTGGTATGTGGTGTACCATAGTGTTTTTTTCTAAATAATAGGTCTGAATTATCATTTCTAGTTGGCTGATTTTCGTTTGCTTTTAAGTATGATATGAAATTGATATCCTAAATTTTCCACTCGACGTACTCAAGAAGAACTATGATAAAAACAGACTACAGAAATATGTGTGGCAGATATTCCAAGGACATGGAAATAAAGCTTTGATATTGCCACATTCAAATCGTCACTGAAAAGCTCAGGCATAAGTGCGTGTGACAATCATTATCTTACTTCTGTTTATTTCAATAAGCGTTTCCAATTTTGTCAATGCATATATATTTTTGGCTTCTTTTTTGTTCCCGAATTCTTGTCAAACGTAATAGGTGTTAGAAGTAATGAATTGATTATAATCTTGGTCAAATGTTACGCATGCTCGCTATGTCAAAAGTTAAAGCTCGGTTATTATCAAATAGCCTATCTAGATCCATTAGCGGGGATGTCATATGTATTAAGAGGCAGTGGAATGTTTTGGATTCCCCTGTGTGGAGAAAAGTATCAACATTACATTGGGTGGAAATGAAGTCACCCCCACAATTATTAAACAGCAATAAAAAGGTTAACCATATAAGTAACATGTATCAAGATTAAAATTCAAATTCCCAATGAAATATTATGGATTTCACGAGGATAACGAAGCTATATATCTGATGATATCGGAAGCAGCGAGTCGTGTAGTTGGCAATCCTATGTCGCAAAGCGGCTTCGCAAGACAAGCCTGGATTTGTCAGCGACACTGAGTCTGCTTTCTAAGTTTCACGATATGTGTGAGCGAAGGTGAGCCAGATAATCCTGAATCGCGATAAGAGCTAGAGAAGGAATCTGCCATCTGTGTTCTACGACATGAGTTTGCGAGTCTACCATCTTATTCCATGACATGGATAAGCAAAGGTACGCCTAACAACCTAAATCGCAACACGAATTAGCGACAGTGCGCCGATCATCACTGCTTCGCGACATGACCAAGCGGCAATGAGTCGTTTATCACGGCATCGCGACATGACTAAGTGGCAATGAGTCGTTTATCACGGTATCGCGACATGACTTAGCGGCAATGAGTCGTTTATCACGATATCGCGACATGACTTAGCGGCGATGAGTAGTTTATCACGATATCGCGACATGACTAAGCGGCAATGAGTCGTTTATCACGGTATCGCGACATGACAAAGCGGCAATGAGTCGTTTATCACGGTATCGCGACATGACTAAGTGGCAATGAGTCGTTTATCACGGTATCGCGACATAACTAAGCGGCAATGAGTCGTTTATCACGGTATCCGATATGACTAAGCGGCAATGAGTCTGGCATCCCTGTATCGTAACATGAACAAGCGACAGAGGAGTGTGAGTTTGAAAGCTATCATTGCTTAATCATGGCTCATAGACTACGTTCATAATCGTGCAGAATGGCATCGAAAGGGAAACATAGGACCCATGTTTCACTATTGAACAGTGAGCAAAATGCAGAATAGATATCACATAGTGTACAATACTACCGTCAGGTAGTGAGACTAGAAAACAATGTCAATTTGTTCAACAATGAGCAGTGAAAACAAACTGTTCTTCCGTGTTCATAAGAAAATGGGTTAAAGTAGCGTCTTATACACTGATAACCGATTCAACATATCTCTTTATCTTTGGTTTTGCAATATTCAATATAAATCGACAACAAACAACTCGTTGCTTTCATTTCCACGCTTACAGAAAATCACCATCCTTGGACACAACAGCAGCATAATAAGTCTCCTAGCTTAAAGGAATCATGGTGCTTAACTAGACGTCATGCCTACACAATATTCTTTTCTGCTTGTTTATTATGTAAATATATTTGCTAAGTTCAGACTGCAGGCGTGGAAACTCGCTAATCTCTCCTTGTTGTGTGAAACAGATCCATAAAATAACACGTTCACAAAAACCGGAAGTCTCATCGGATTGACCGGAAGGGAATACCCTGTTCCTACGTGTACAGAGTGAGTTGAACCTGGAGACCATACTGTAGCACACACGAATTCCAAATTTTGTAGAAGTATCAAAACCTTGTCTACTGCCCACAGTCACAATAAAATGTCGGCGAGATATCACTATAACTTGTTAAAAGGTTGTCTTGGATGATCACAGATAACCCTACAACCATACGACACACAACACGGATTCTTCATAAGATATCTAGGTCTCTGTCTTTGATATGCGCGTCGTTATCGTCCAAGGGAATCCGAAGTCCAGCCAGCACGGGCTGGCTTCGCTCTGACCCAGAATGTACGTCTCCTGGAGACGAATGAGCTCCTTGGGACGGTTGTGATTGTTGAGACCCCGAATCACTAACGGACCCCGAGGGGTCCGATGAGCTGCTTAGTTGAACATGTTTCGGTGGGGAATGTTGTCTTTGCTGGTTGTTTGCATGTGAACTGTATCGAGCACTTGCTTTGTTTTGCAGGCCTTTTGGGTGAGCTTTAATCAACTTGGATTTAACATCCATTTTAAGAACATCGTCACACATTGACGTGACGCTCGAAGTCTTTACAGGTGTTGAACTACGGCCAGCTGGCGAGGAAGAACGGGATCCATTCTGAGACCCTCTAGACATATCTACGGAAGAGCCCTGAGATGTCTTTGATTGCGAGTCACGAGACTTAACACTAGCTGGCGAGTTTGGTCGTGGAGCTGATGATTTTGAAATAAAGTTAACATCACACACACGACGTTTCGGCGATGATTCTACTGAGGATTTAGGAGTGTTCTCGGCACTCGCCGTGGTGTTGGTGGTAGTATTACGTGGGGAAGTTATTTTCGACACTGGATATGTCGACTCTTGTGACGAACATGGAGTTGAGCTTGGAGAAAACATCCGAAGAATTTCCGACATTTGTTCGTCTATTCTTGACATTTTTTGGTGCAACACGTCTATTTCTTCTTTGATTTCTAGTCTGATATCATACAGTGACGTCAGCACCTGACGCTCGGCTACCGAGAGTGCCCCGGATGTCGATTCTCTCAAGGTCTGGGGACCCTCGTTCACCGTGTCGTCTGCTAACTGGTCTAATTTTACATTACTTCGGAGAATACCACTATCCGTGGAATCTGTCTTTTTCAGATTCGATTTCTGATCATCCTCCGGAGCTTCATTTATCGGCTCCGGAGGTTTTGCCATCATTTTCCCCCATTTAGATAGAGGTTTCACTGTTGCTTTTGGTGCCTCGTTTATTTTTGTTTGTAAATCCTCTTTCTCTTTGTCAACATTGATCTTATTTTGGTTGTTATCAGATGTTCCCTCAGATGAAACTGTCCCGTTCATTATCTTCCCCCATTTCATAGCTCCACCTCCAATTTTTGGAACTGGTGAGCCACCTTGAGATCCCTCCGACACATTGATAAGCCTTGTAAAACTCCGTGGTCGTTCTGGAGTATCCATTGATGACATACGTCCACGCTCGGGATCGTTATTAGGTTGCATGGCTTTGGCATCACTGATTTTGCGGAACCTGGAGATGAGCTTACGGACTGGATGATCACTTGACAGCTCCAGTGGTGGGTCATTTTTTCTCTTTTCTGCCAATTCTTTCTCTTTTTTCACATCGGCCACTTTCCGGAAAATTAACTGAAATAACAATGTTAGAAGATTCTTTATTTTGTGTTTTTCGCGAAGCCCTTATATGTTAATTGCTTTATATCCACGTACATATCGTAAGTATTGGTTATCATCTTAATAGATCGTTATTCAAACAGGACAACTGATGTCAGTGAATCGAATGTTAGTAATTTAAGTTATTTTTTTGCTTATGATCGAATATTTTTCGTTTTTTTTTTTTTTTTTTTTTAATTTTATCTTCAAAAATGAGATATTTTCTATGTTCTTCGATTATATTTTTGTCACTTATTTATAACAAATCGCAGCAGTTGTAAGTCCATGGTTACCCAACGCCATGAAGTGATATTCGTATCAGACCTTGAACCTACATGTTCAGCACGTTCATTGACAAAGAAGATAACAATGCCTTATTCTTCAACAGCAGCTTATCAATATTTAATTTTGTTCACTCCTGAACAATAAGTATGAAACGTGTGGATACACTCGACCGATTACTCTGGTAGAGTAAGTCCCCTCGGGGACAAATAGTCACACCAAAGATACAGACCCTGTGCCGGAGGTTGTATGTCAGTGTAAGGTTCCTGGCGAACGAGTTGGCGAAGGCGTGGTAGAATTCCAGCACTTCTAATATTCTGACTCTTTTGATGGTATGAAGGTCACAGTAAGTGAGTGCGCGTACATTGGCAGTAGACTGACCAATCGACTGCTCCTTCCAAAAGTTGTCGCCAAACACGTCCCCTTTACCTATTGAACATCGAAAAATGCCAACTTTAGTTCAATCGGTTTCACCATTTTAATCATTGTCAAATTTTACGTCTAGCTTCAAACTTAAGACTTGAAAGTTATATGTTTCAAATGCAAAGATGTCAAAACAAAACACAAACTGCGGCATTCTGAAACGGAATAGCAATACCAGACAAGTTTCTTTAGATTATCTACACTGGAACCATTCGTAAGTGAAGATTAAGTACAGACAGTCTAGATTAGCAGATTAAGTGCCTCAAAATGTATTGTCAGTTAATCTTTAAAACACAAATTTTCAGACAGTAATTTGATACTAAATACAATATTGAACACAGTCCTCATGGCTTTATAATTTATGTATATACAACATCAGAGACTGAAAAGAACAAGGCGCCATCTTCTCATCACTGTAACAGAAGCAAACATTCTACACAATATACAAAGAGACGTTCTGGGAAACAGATTAGTGCTTGGTGTCATAGGAAAGGTTAGAATACATCAATGATTAGACTTCTCAAACATTGATACAATACATCTTGTACTGAGGTCACCAGTGTTAAAATACATTATGGACAGAAGGCATCAGTCAGTGTTAGAATACATCATGGACCGAAGTCAGCAGTGTTAGAATACATCTTGAAAAGCTGTCATCAGACAGTGTTAGAATACATCATGGACAGACGTCATCAGTCAGTGTTAGAATACATCATGGACAGACGTCATCAGTCAGTGTTAGAATACATCATGGACAGACGTCATCAGTGTTAGAATACATCATGGACTGAAGTCACCAGTGTTAGAATACATCATGGACTGAAGTCACCAGTGTTAGAATACATCATGGACTGAAGTCATCAGTCAGTGTTAGAAAACATCTTGGAAAGCTGTCATCAGACTGTTAAAATACATCATGGACAGACGTCATCGGACAGTGTTAGAAAAATCTTGGAAAGCTGTCATCAGACAGTGTTAGAATACATCTTGGAAAGCTGTCATCAGACAGTGTTAGAATACATCATGGACAGACGTCATCAGACAGTATTAGAAAACATCTTGGAAAGCTGTCATCAGACAGTGTTAGAATACATCTTGGAAAGTTGTCATCAGACAGTGTTAGAATACATCTTGGAAAGCTGTCATCAGATAGTGTTAGAAAACATCACGGACAGACGTCATCAGACAGTGTTAGAAAACATCTTGGAAAGCTGTCATCAGTCAGTGATAGAATACATCTTCGAGAAGACTCAGGATACGTGAAGGGCTCAAGGTAATGTCAAAATGCATTACTGGCGGAGTGTCTACTACATGATTGTAACCGATATCGCGTGTGGCATACTCCATTGTAAAAGGGCGTTTCTGCTAGGCTGACAATGTGTGTACAGGGACACATTTTCTGATCAATGTGTCGATGTGGTACCATCAAGAACGACAGCGGCATACTTAATATCCACCATGAACAATTTTAACTGCCTGTTTTGGCTGGGGTACGGACAGATAACTAATGAAATATATAAATATTTAAATGCACTTTATTTTCGCGAATCCATCAAATGGGCCTAACGAGATTGTAATGTTTCGGTTGAATCACTTCTGTAATTACATCTTTTATGTGACATCACAAAATTTGAAAATAGATTAAGTTTGATCATTTAACTAACTTTGAAAGCTACTGATACCAGTATGAGCAGACCTGTTGTAATCCGTTATTGTATTAGAATAAATGATGACGTCATGACAAAAGGCACACCTGACCCTTTGTTACAATCATGACAATTATGTCTGCAATATTCTATAGAAATACAGGGCCAGTTGTTCCTTTATGGACCTTTTACTTAAGCCGTGCTGTTCTATCTAATATATACAAATAAACACCAAGCAATCACTGCAGTTCTTCCAATTGGTGACGAATGTGGAGACGGTGTCTTATAAGTGAATGGGTATCATAGCTTTCTTATTTCATTATACCTGCACATTACAATCTACCAAATTGAGTTCGATCCAACTTCAGCACGAGATCATTGTTATCGGTGACCGAACTTGCTAACAACACGATAGAAATAAGGGATACGGTAAAACAACAACAAACCAACTCTACTTTATATCCATATTGTACAATTAAAACTTGGCTTTGACAAATATGGATGGATATAAAAATTCCATTTAATTTAGACCACGTACTCAAAATGGCTACCACCTCGTCGTCCTGAATGACCTCCAGTGAACCGGACACGACAAAACATAAGGCGTCCAGACTTTCGCCCTGATGGAATATCAGGTCACCCGGCGCACTGTGCGTCATGTTGAAGTGCATGGCGAGCGCCCTCAGGCAGCCATCGCTGGCCAATCGGAAGGCCGGATGCTCCATGAACACCTTCCGGTTAAGGTGCACACACAAATCGGCCTTCATATCTTTGGGACAATAGTTCAATACCTGGAATCACAAACACCAAAAAATGTTTTCATGTTATCTATTTCCTTAATGCGTTTGCGTTTAATAATCCTTCCATAACACTACAGTCAGCAAAGTCTAAAGGTATTGAATCTGAATGAATGAGAATGTTCGATTAATGATTTTGCCCCAGAAATAGTTTGATATATCAAACTATTGGAGTTTGAGAGTGGCAATGAATGTTGGTTTCTGTTATAATGCTTCTCCTCAAACATATAGACCTTGAAATTTACCGAAATGGTATGTCTCGAATTTGTCAGCGTGAAAAAAACTTACTCGTTGCTCTTGGCATTAGTATGCTTACGATTACAGTATAACTGGTAGTTCAAAGATCATCTTATTTTATACTGGACGTTCAATATCAGCTGGGTATGGACGTATACATTTTGTATAGTTTATTGTTTAAGTTGGTAAGTAAAGCACGGGCTTACCTTGGTAGCGTCGATACCCTTGGTGATGGCCCACGTGGAAACAATATAGTCCATCACGCGCTCGCCCAGGATCTTAGGGACGTCATGCAGTTTCATAAAGTCGCGTACACTGTTCAGCATGTCATGGTATCGTGCAAAGTTAGCGTAGAACTGCTGGAATATGGTCGTCACATTGGAAAATATTGTTGCATAGAGCAGGGCTGAAAACAAAAAGGCATCGTCAGTCTTTATACATAATACCATGGAGGTCGATGTTTGATAAGTTACGAACGAAGCGTAGCAATCACCATGTGGAATGGTTTTGTCACACAAGATCAAGTAAATTTTGTAGATGATGTTGGATGACATGAATCCTCACACACACAAACACATCATTACATCGTATGTGTTTACCATCAGGAAATATAATTTCACTGATAACTTATAGAAAAATTTTATAAAACATTGTGAGAAATCGAGTTCTAAAGCGCTTTATCAATTGTGTGACGCTGTAGATGTTTAAGATCATTTTCAGTTGTATTCTAAAAATTATGTCCGACGTGAATCTAACCTCGCGTAACCCTGCATACCAAACCTTACGTTTTATTTAACAATGACACTGATTAAGATAACTCAAACATATATGGCGTCCTTTTTAAAACTGATCATATGAAAGCTATAATTAACGTTTTAATTAATTGAGTCTCTCTACCTCCTATTTCATTTTGTGACATTTGTTTCAACCGAAAAAAAATTTTTCCAACGTGTTTTCCGGATTTCAAAACATTTGACAATATAAATAATCTATATGATCCGGGTGTTTTTTTTCATTATTCGGCATGCGCTGTATATTTTGTTCTGAATTATTATGAACAGGTTTTAATAAGTTGTCTATTTACTATCTCAAATGCAAAACAAAACGTAGAATGTAATTGTTATTCATTATTGTAGCATACACTCCAATATAACAAATATAAACCATAGCGGACTCGTGATTTTTGATGCAGTTGTGATCATTCCGGCTCAAAAACTGATATCCTTAATTTGATTTCGAAGTGGTATTATTCACACAAGAGGATTTTAAAATCAATTTGGATTCGAACGGTCAAGTGAAATTGAATGATAATAAAGATTTAAAGAGAAGGAAGGAGAACCATCAATTGTAAGCACCGAAACACCTTTTCCGAAGCTACATCAAAAGAGTGTTGTGAGCTTGGAATCCATCACCATGCACGTGTGTGTGATGGCCACCAATAGCCAACACACGGTATTCACGACCCTTAATCAACCATTCAAAATATCAACGACAATCATTAACTGGCACAAGCTTCGAACATTAAGCAACATTAAAACATGAAACTGTCCAGTGGAGGGTTCTTCATGGGTTTATTTCTACGAAAAGGGGCATTTATTGAGCGTATTTTTTCATCTATTTAAAATACCGTGTTAAATTAGTCGTTACTATGTCGTGTTCTTCTGGACATCTCACTCGGGTTCATATCTTGTATGTTTATAGCTCTTATAACCCACTTCTTCATTAACGAGAATTTTATGGTGTTTTTCAAGGATGCTTCTATTGTTGTTTAAATTGTAATATAATTGTATCGGATGCATGCGCAGTTTTATTCTGGTTGTTAACAGTGACGTGTAATCGATAACGGTCAATGGTATGATGATTGACAACCATTAACACCTACCTGTCGCCCGGAACAGAAATACAAAGCGTGCAGTGCTTCATTCCCATAAGGTACACCGAAACAAATCGATACAGCACGGCACTTCCCAGTGGAAAAGTGTCAGAACTTTCAGGATCCAATTGCGTTAATGAACTGGTAATATGAGTTATGACTGTCCAAAACGATTTGCTAGACACACTCCAAATAATGCAATACAGGAATTCCAAGACAGCGTCAAGGAAGACACCTTATATAGCTGGGTGTATCGAAAATCATAGGGTTAACACTACAGTGTGGAATTAAGGATCGTGTATAGCGCGGAATAAAGCATACTTAAATACGGGCTTGTAAGTTTTCGTAATGTACATACTGTAACGCTATTTACATAACGATAGAAACCCCTGCATATTTATGAGTAGTTGGCAATTAATAACTGATCATAATTTGAATTTTTATTCGACCGTTATTGTCTTGGGTGTATAAAACTAAAATATCACTATTTTTCTATATTAAACATGTGCTAAAACTTATCAATTTTAACAATATCTATTGTGAATACTGGATAAGTTTCGGTTGCTTATTAACACCACTTAGAAATGATACTATCAACAAATTTCTACCCTGTGTTTGGTGGTAAGATCTTCCAACAGACTACTGGTAAACATATGACAACTAACTGCGCCGCTCTGTTGACTGACTTGTTTTTGCCAACATACAAGGCTGAATTTATTGAAGAGCTTATCGAAACAAGTCAAAAAGACCTTGCGAAGGTGTTTAATTTCACTTTCAGATATATTGATGACGTCTTCTTTTTAAATAACAAGAAATTTATTGACTATGTCCAAGGTATATATCCATCAGAATTGGAAATCAAAGACAAGACAGACTCTTCTACATAAGCTGCTTATCTCGATCTTTTCCTACAACGAAACTAACATGGATAGCTTTACACCAAGCTGTATGATAAACTTGATCTCAATTTCCCTGTTATGAATTTTCTATTTCTGGATAACAACCTTCCTCCATCCCCAACTTATGGTATTTACATGTCACAGTTGAATCCATATTCAAGGACCTGTTCCCATCACCACGATTTTCGTGCAAGAAGTCGTCAACTGACGGACAAACTCGTAATATAATGGTTTAACAGATTCAGGTTGATGAAAATTATGGGGAACTTCTATGGTCGCCATAGTGATCTCATCGAGAAATATTATAATCCTTTGTGTGATATGAAGCTGAGCGTGTTTGATGCTCATTAGTTTGCCTGTTGGTTTCGTAATGTAATAAACTAAATGTACAGTTAAGGACATTTGATATGCAGCTAAGGGCAATAGAATATTGAATGTGCATCTAAGGGCGAGATAATATTTAATGTCCAGCCTAAGGTGAGATAAAATTATATGTACAGGTAAGGTAAAAAATTTAATATCCAGCTAAAGGTAATGATTTGATTGTGCAGCTAAATGTAAAAAAAAATATGCAACTAAGGGTAAAACATTAGACAGGCAGCTAAGGATGATAAAATAAATTAATTAAATGTGAAGCTTAGAGTGATAAACTAAAAGTGCAGCTAAGAGTGATAAATTAAATCTGCAGTTAAGGGTTATAAAGTAAATGTGCAGCTAAGGGTTATAAATTAAATGTGCAGCTAGGGATGATAAATTAAATATGCAGCTAAGGGTGATAAATTGTGCAGCTAGGGGTGATAAATTAAATATGCAGCTAAGGATGATAATCTAAATGTACAGCTAGGGGTGATAAATTAAATGTACAGCTAAATGAGGTATATAAATGTGCACCTTAAGGTAAAAAATCAAATGTACAGCTAGGGGTGATAAATTAAATATGCAGCTAAGGATGATAATCTAAATGTACAGCTAGGGGTGATAAATTAAATATGCAGCTAAGGATGATAATCTAAATGTACAGCTAGGGGTGATAATTAAATATGCAGCTAAGGATGATAATCTAAATGTACAGCTAGGGGTGATAAATTAAATATGCAGCTAAGGATGATAATCTAAATGTACAGCTAGGGGTGATAAATTAAATGTACAGCTAAATGAGGTATATAAATGTGCACCTTAAGGTAAAAAATCAAATGTACAGCTAGGGGTGATCAATTAAATATGCAGCTAAGGATGATAATCTAAATGTACAGCTAGGGGTGATCAATTAAATATGCAGCTAAGGATGATAATCTAAATGTACAGCTAGGGGTGATAAATTAAATGTACAGCTAAATGAGGTATATAAATGTGCACCTTAAATGTACAGCTAGGGGTGATAAATTAAATATGCAGCTAAGGATGATAATCTAAATGTACAGCTAGGGGTGATAAATTAAATGTACAGCTAAATGAGGTATATAAATGTGCACCTTAAGGTAAAAAATCAAATGTACAGCTAGGGGTGATAAATTAAATATACAGGTAAAAGTAATGAAATAATTGTGCAGCTAAAGGTAAAAAATAAATATACAGCTAAGGGCTATACATTGAATGTGCAGCTCATGATGATATAAATATTTTCATTTCGTAGGTTTCGGTTTCTCTGAAGTAAACTGACGTTTTCCAGGTGGCATATTTAATATATATAGATATATTTGATATAATACAATGTGAACGTATCATATAGACGAATGGTATATCTTAAACTGTATTCTTTTCGTTATATCATATTGTTCTACTGTAAAGGTACCATGATTTTCACGAAGTTAAAAATATATAAGTGGAATAACACTGACAGGATAATCTTATTGGACAGGATTATTTTTGTATAATACTAAATTATTGAAGTAAATCCTATATGTTTACAGCTAATAAGTAAAATATAACTATCTTCGTACGATTTTAGAGAATTATCTAAACATCAAGTTGTTGGTTAGTGTGTTATATTTCATATTTTTGTACTCATAGTTACATAACAATCAAATAAGTATTTCACAAAAAATATATTTTCAGATAAAAGTGCTCTCCTGTTCCCAAGCCTGGTTGTGTCGATTCTTTATTTTTCTTTCTCTATCTTTATTCTAATTTATTTACCACTAACTAATACTTAAATAATGTTGCCAATCATGGTGAAATTTCAATGGCAACTCTTGGTCGTCTTTACAGATACAGTACGTTATATTTACAAGAATGGATGCATATTGTTAGAATATTTGTATTCAGAAATCGCACAACAACTCCAGAGGTTATATATTAGCGCTGAGAAGCAATGTATTAAAGGATAAGAACGACAGTTAGGGTTATGCTTAACTTTGAAGATCTTGTCCCGCATGATCTGTTCCCTTAGAATTGTGAAGTTTCGTGCAAGATGTTGACAGCTGACAAACTCACAATACATGAATTTGAGCGACTAATTGATGGAGACTACGATTGTCATAATAATCTACTTGTGAAATATTCCTTCCTAATAGCTTCACATGTTTGATGCTCGTTAGTTTACCTGTAGGTTCCGTTGTTGTTTTAACCTTGTTCTCATATGAGAACGTGATATTACTACCTTAGTTTGAACAATTTTTACTTGTCTGTGAAGCATAGGAAATTTGCTCTTCCGGAACTCTTGGTACTTGTACTTTTTTGTTAATTTAAGATTCTGTTGATGCTCACTGGAAGCTTTGCAATTAATTTTGTCACAATAAATTGATAAAGACATATGAGAAGAGGACACCTTCATTGCCGCCTGAATACCTGACCGTCAATGTTTGTGTTGAATATACATTTGCCATACATATTGGAGATAAAAATGTCTTCGTCGATGTTTTTACCAGATAGGATTTATAAAAGAGTTTGCGAGGTCCGGTAGTTACGACCTTGCAAATAATTTAAATTTAAATTAATATTTAGTTACAGCATCTGCCAAATACTGAATTGAACGGCATCATTTAGCTGTTACCTCTACCTTCCATTCCCCTGTATGAAAGCAAAAGTGTGCTGCCATTTTTAATAATGTCAAAGTTCAATCGGATATATTGTGCCCGGATCAAATTGATATATAAATAATTCATTAGGATACCCATGTAATTGATTTTATCAATGATTTCACTCTAAACCAGTGTAAAGGTTCATTAATATAACTTGTCCTATACATATCCAATTCTAGACAAAACCGTTAAAAACAAACTATAGTTATGACTCGTTTTATCCATATATATGCATCCAATTCTAGACAGAAGGTCAAACATTCAAAACTAAATTATAGGTAACCAAAGATGTCATTTCGAACCTACATCGAGATAAATGTGTCATTGTTTTCAGGTTGTAATTTTTAACCTTTGATATCGCAGAGATGCAGTGTGCTACATCCTCACACGGTATTGGTTTGATTTGGTTTCGTGCTAATTAGTGGTTTATAATTAATACCACGTGACAATATCAAGGCCAATTTCTAATAACATTCAAAACAATCAGTAGTTTTACAGCTGTAAACAGGCTCAATGCAATCACTGGCAGAGGTCAAGTCACGACTTGAACACAATAAAACATTAAAATCCCAGATACACGTATGTATGATTGATGTATGAGGGTCAAACTTAATCACGGCAAAGATCAAACGGTCAACAGTAATAATCAGAGTCACGCTGCGAAAATGTAATTATTGAAAATAAAGGTATTTTATCGAATTAATGTGACGTCTTGATTGTGGTGTAATTTCGTGGTGGATGTCGAGTAATGAGATTATATATTATGAACAGTTGAGGACACTGAGAAGAGAACGTAAGCATTGCGGGGAACAAGTCTGCAATCGGACGGGATTATGTTAAGGGGTTTCAGATTATATTGGGCAGGGAACAACAGAACCAGACTCTTTCTAACTCGCATTTCTCGAATACACCAATGTACCCATTAGACATAAGACGAGATAAGTGATTATATTCCGACATTATATAGTGTTTTCTAGAATTGTTTGATGTCTCTGAGGAGATGTCGTCAACCGAAGAAATTGTCTTACATATTCTTCACTAAACTCCCATCACAATCGACTATATAATTGTATAAGAACAGTATGGCTCGATCATTCGACCGAATCATAAACAGAACACGAGCTCCCGACAAATCGAGTGTGTTACTGCCAAGAAGCTCCCGAGGAAATTGGTATGTATAATAATCCTATGGAGCTTCGGGAGAATCGGGACACACAGAATTGTACATGATATGCTTATGGAGCTCCCGAAAGATTCAGGGCCTAACAGTATGATATCAATTTATAATATCTTACCTGATCAATGTTGAACTTCTTTTCGAACTTCAACATTTTAGAATTACTGCTAATTTATAATTAGTAAATGCAAAGTAACTAATCACTCAAGTCTTACCTCCAATTATCATCATAAATATAGAAAACAGTTTCTCGTGTTCAGTTGCTGCTGCTACGTTGCCGAAGCCGACACCAGTCATGCAGGACAACGTGAAATAGAGCGAGGTGAGATACCGCATGCCCTTGCTTGGGCCTCCGGTGAGCGTGGTTTTCGTGGTAGTATTAGTCCATGTAAAAGGTTCAAATGTGGTATTTGCTAGTGTAGAAAGCCAGCCATATTCAAGGCCGCTTTGAAGTTCAGTTAGGCCGATAGAATACCATATACAAGCAAACCAATGAGCAAACAGTATGAAAACAAGGATGAGCAAAACCAGCATGGCGGCTCCATATTCTAAATAATGATCCAACTTTCGGACTACTCTCCCGAGCCTTAAGAGACGAACCACCTTTAAAGCGCTGAAAAGGGTACTTATCCCCTGAAACAAGATACATTCAACAATGTAAAACATGTATAAATAATAAATAATATATATAAAATATTTAAGATATCACAACAAGTGTCTATCTTGGTCAATTCGACAGTAATAATGTTACTTGAAGAATGTTAGTCCAGTTTCAAAGCCTTACAAATCTGTCGGAATCTCTCCACAGTATATCAGTTTATGTAATTCAATGTAATATCTACCTCGACATTTAAAGAGCGTTCAGGAAACTAGGTTATGATGCTCTGGATAAATATATATAATTAAGTAACACAAAGGCGTATTTAACAATGAACTATTTTTGGTCCCATTTGTAAATAGTCCACCATAAGCTTGGTGTAGTGTATCAAATTTATCTTCTAATTGAGAACATGTTGTTATTGGGATTTTTTAAAGGAGGACACTCCCATTTGCAAATGAATTGTAAATTTGTTCAGGTCAGTCATTTGAACCCATCTTTTTAAAGAAACATATGAGTTTATTCGTTTATTTTGATTTTTTCTTCCCGGTTTAAACAATAATATTAGCGTGATACTTACGTCATCTACGTATTGGAAGGCATTGAAGACGTCATACGGGAGACAGGACAAAAGATCTATTACAAACCAGCTCTTCAAATAGTTCATACGAATAATTTTATGGTCGGATATAATTTCACCACTTGGACCCACAAATGTCGTATGAAAATTAAGAATGATATCCACGAAAAACACAACATCGACGATACTGTCAAGGACAAGCAATGGCACCTGGTCCATTGTCTTGTTTCTGAAGGCAGTGTTATACGGTACCGTGACCGCTGTGTAAAAGGTCAAGGTCAATATCATCCAATCCCATATAGTTTTGAACAAGCAGTAATGCAAAATGATATGAGGAGGAGTCTTGGGTGCTTCTAGACGATATTGGGGCAGTACATCCGCGTTCAGGTTCATCATCTGAAAGGATACCAACGTATCATTTGTGAAGTATACTTGAAATAACAATATAATGTCGATCTTTTCTTTACGGTCGTGAATATCATCTCGTTTTTCTATTGCTTTATCATCGAATTTTTGGTAGATTTTCATCATTTTGACTGAGGTTTAATAATAAGGTGTTAATGATTTACTTACGTTTGCAAGCTGTGAGGGTTTGGAGTTGTCGAACTTTGTGTTGGGTATATGTGATGAAAACTGAAGAAGTGTCGACTTGTTCCGCGTCACAGATCGAGCGAGGCGCGCAAACTTGCTCATGCCAGCTGTAGAACAAAAACATTACAGTTATCAATCATTTTTACATATCTCTTTGTTATCTTTTGTTCTACGTTAAAAATTATTACTCGCTTTAGGTTTTGAACGAGTTGCAAACAGTGTAACGAAAGATGATGGGCAATACCAAAACCTATCTGTCCGTAACGAAGTAATTCAAAAGCCCACAATATATTAATAATATTCTATTGAGAATGCTGAGTGTAAGTTATTTCATTCAACTGATACAGATCCCTGTTATAATGAAATTGAAAAAAAAGATCCACCCAAAAACTCAAACTCGCTTTCCACCTTAACACGACACTCAAAATTATTATTTCAAAAAACTGTAGGACAACCAGGTATAATGTTTATCGGAATACTCAATTCTGACAGGAATTTAAGCAAGGTATCAAAACATCGAATTGATTTGATGTTTGCCGATTAACGAGAATTCCGCGCGTTTCCGGTTGTCAGTAATGAATCAAGAAAGTCCCTTAATTGCTGGCTCCTATTCCTATAATCCATCTAGAACTCTGCACAACATACTTAAATTAATGCAAATTGTTTTCAGTGTATATTAATTCAAGCAAATTTCTAATTATGATAACATACTTCTAGTGAACTCCTACCTGTCAACAGTTCATGAAGAAAGCTCCATAACATTCCTTATTCTTGTGATAAGTTTAGAGAGCTCCATAATGTTCCCTAATCTTGTGATAAGTTTAGAGAGCTCCATAATGTTCCCTGATCTTGTTATAAGTTTAGAGAGCTCCATAATGGTCCATACTCTTGTAATAAGTTTAGAGAGCTCAATAACGTTCCCTAAGTCTAAAGAGCTCCATAATATATTCTATTACTGTGATAAGTTTAGAGAGCTCCATAATGTTCCCTGATCTTGTGATAAGTTTAGAGAGCTCCATAATGTTCCCTAATCTTGTGATAAGTTTAGAGAGCTCCATAATGTTCCCTGATCTTGTGATAAGTTTAGAGAGCTCCATAATGTTCCATACTCTTGTAATAAACTTAGAGCTCAATAACGTTCCCTAAGTCTAAAGAGCTCCATAATATATTCTATTACTGTGATAAGTCTAGAGACCCCCTTAATGTTCCCTATTACTGTGATAAGTCTAGAGACCCCCTTAATGTTCCTTGTTCCTGTGATAAGTCTAAAGAGCTCCATAATATATCCTATTGTTGTGATAAATCTAAAGCGTTACAGGATGTCATCATTTCTGGGGTTAGTATTCGATATGATTTTGAATTTATGTTTATGGTTAGCTTCTATTCTTGTATGATATTTATATGGATATTATGGATATGTCGACGCAAATCTCGTCTTTAAACATGTACCCGTATACCACAACAACCAGAAGTCCCATTACTTTAATTGACAATAAATCGAATTGATATGTTTGGGAATGTCTCGCCTTTAGTAGACCTGTGTTTATGCAGATGTATACTGCCCCTCCCAGTGGTGTAATACATGCACGTGCTACGTCAATTATACCGGTCTGCTTTATTTTGAACTGTTTTCTCGGCGCACTTTCCCCCATACAAATAAATTGTGTACGAAATGCAAGGTTTTCAGATCCGGTGGTAGATCGTTTCGTACGGAATGGATGGGTTATATGCATGTCTGCTCTAGGTGATGAATAAGCTGGCAGTGACGCTATACAGGAATACAGCCATAATCGTCTCGTTTTCTGAACAATAATTCATAAACGTCTTTTAATTCCCAGATAGAAATTCTAATCAATTATCTGCAGAGGGGTGATCATTGAATATCAGGCCTAGCGTAAACGGTTTTGGATTGGAAACGTTCTGTCGGATTATTTCCTGAGATTTCCAAAGACTTCAATCAGGATGACACGGATTCAGGATAAGGTGTTATTTTCAATCGCCTGAATTAATGGTATGGCTGAGCGCTCTACGCGATGTGCTCGATCATTGGTGGTGATGTATATATGCTACAGCACTGCATGGCTAGGCCAGCGCCGCTGTAGAAGTGTCGCCCACTTCTGTTGAGCTCGGTCAGCACCGCCGTGGTAGTGTCGTTCGGTACTCATTGATAGGGGGTAAAAGGGGTGGGCGGGTTTGTCTCGTCTGAGACCTAGCCCGACCAGGCCATCCAAACCATGTAATAAAACTGTTTGACTAAAGGAATTTTGTACCATTTAGTACCGTAACACAATTTAACTATTTAAACTACACTCCATGACCCCTACAGGAAGGACCTTCTTATGAACGTACAGATTCTGAGAACGATCTCGTTATCGATTTTATAGATTTGAAATAATACGTATAAAATATGTAACACGTTGATCTACACTAAATAGATCAAATATGAGTTAGCTCTTTATAACATGAAACCGCTTCGCAAATTACTTCAGAATTACTTCATCAATACTTAAAATCTTCTAACATTCCGATCAGACTTATATCAGTATATCAGTAAACTAATTGATTTTGATCCGTCTCTGACATTACTGATTGTACTAAGGGAACGTTAATAAGAAAGCCGACCGAGTGCGTGTGTCACGTTTATCTGATGAGACTTGCTCTTTAAGACATGCACTTTTCACTTCTGAGTATTCCGCCACCTGTAGAACAGTCTTGTTTCCAACTATCGCAAATTTTGGCACCAAAAGAATGAGTCAATCGATGGGCCGTTAGTTGTTGCGGTTTCACGCAGTGTATGTGAGGTTAAGACTACGCAGGCCTGTAATATCAATGTAATTTTAGTATTCCCTAGGACACACCAGTAAAAGTCCAACAGGACCTTTCCGTAGTAGAGTTTTCCACACTAATCAACTACAAGATATCCCTTATCGGCATGTTGTTGGATCGTATTCTGTTCCTACGCTGTAAATGTGCCCCTGTCAGCGTTTTATGAGGCCAGAAAGCATATTTGACTGGTTTAACTTCGTTCAAACATGCAAACTATATGTAAACTTTGTTTCTAAAATGCAATTAAAGGCCGAATCCATACTCCTGACAAGGAAGATGGGGAAGTATGCCGCTTCCATTATACATCACGTGATACTCGACAAGAACCTGCAGGCGGACCGTGGTAAAATGTGGGGTGTAAGGAGACATAGGGCATACAGTGATGCTTACTTCTCTCTAGATAACAGGCGGCACAATGCCAGTAAACACAACCGCATATTTCTCCAGAAAATGATGTGATTTTTTTTTTTTTTTTTGAATTTCAAATATCAAATGTCACATTGTGACAAGACGGATGGTTTTGATGCGTTTTCGTTTTGTTGGAAGTCATATTGTTTAAGGATCAATATTTTCTCGTCTAAATGGTGTTTATATGCATTTGTTCTTGTTTTGAAATTAATATTTGTCTTTGTTACAGTTGCAGCCTAGCTTACCTTTGCCACCCTCCTCGTCGATTGGTTGTTTTAAAGCAGTTATGTCTTTGAACGTGCACAAGAAGAGCACGACCTGGTCCTTCTCGTTTTTGATTGGCGCGACGTGCAGCAGTAGCCATAGCGGAGTCCCTGAGAAGGAAATGGTTTTATGTAGTCCAATACAACACAATCAAATACTGACGGATACAGGATAGTCAAGACATTGAATTTCAAACACAAAATCATTTAGACAACCATTGTTATGTAATTTTCAAGACTATTTATCTGCAAATTGGCGAAGAACTGAAAATTGAGCCCACTCCGAAATAAATCGATGTACCATATAGAGTATTGTTTCTCCTCCAGAAAACATTTAATTGGAAAAAAACATGATCCAAAGGATTAAACATCTTTTCTCTAAGGTTTCAGTATTGTTTTTGTCGATTTCAAGAGGTGAAGTATTCGGTTTGCCTTGAGACAAATTTAATGAAATGCAAAGTCTTAGATCTCCTCAATACAGTATCCATAGCATGAGATCAATCAAAGTTTGATTGGTTGATCACTGCTGTAATTCATGATGGAAATAAATGTATTTTCATACAGACATTGCAAAAATATCACAAAAGTGCCTTTGGTTTTTGCAAATGATTATTGATTGTTGTGTCCGATTAAAATCATTTTGCTGGTGTAATTTAGACATAAAAAGACATACAAAGCCATTGCTAGTGAAGCTAATATAGGCGAAGAGAAAATTTAGTAATTAGGTTTCGAACGTGAATTAGATTTTGCTTTCGTCCAATTCACGGGTGATATGATTTTTAGAAATGTTCCTGTTGAAGAACAAGACTAACCTACTTTATAAACCTCTGAAATCGACAATAGCAACAACGATTCCTCATAGATTTCATTTGATATTAATATCTCCAGCGTACTCTTAGGATACTCTTAGTCGATTGATCATGTACTCTTAAAATTATTTAATGGTCATATTCAAAGTCAAATCCATACTGAATAAGAATTCATATTATACCAAATATGTAAGTGCACGCATTATAACTCAGTTTTGAAACACATGGTCTGAAAATGTTGACAAGTATGGTAAACATTCTTATTAATACCAATTAAAGTTATCCTTGCTTTAAACACACAGGTGATAAATATCTGATCAGTTCCATCAGCTTGTTTAACAGTAGTAGTAACAGAGACTGGTTTCCAAGGTGTTTTTCGAAGATAATGGTTCAAGAACCTACTGAGAAATGGAATGGTCTCCATGAATGATTGGGTTAAAAGCATATCGGTCTGATCAAAATGGAGATATGATGTTGTATGCCTTATGGCGTCGTTAACAAACTGACGGTAAGAGATATATCGTTCATAGAAACTGTTCTGTGATCAACCAGATCCATCATATTCTATTATACTCCAATAATATCATAAATGTATAATGAAAATGTATATATAGTTCATCAAATTTACATGATCGCGATAATTGTTTGATTCTTCTCAATAGATATGATAAAAACACACAAAAACCACAAAAAGACAATATATATAACTTCAAATAACACACACGCGCGCGCAAACACACACACACACGCAAACACACACACACACGCACACACACACACACGCACACACACACACACACACACACACACACATATATATATATGTGTGTATATATATATGTATATTTTGTATATATACAAAAAGGCGAAATATTAATATATCACGCTATTGCTGATGAATAAAATTAATAAAGGTTTCATGTGCTAAAACTGTTGTCAAGTCACTGGAAAGGATAATAATACGATACATTGTTCATTGTAAAAAATATATGATAATAAGGCAATACATCAAGCCCAACCTGATCAATATAATTATTTTACTGCGTCTTAACTGTGATCAGTTCATTCATGTTTGATGCGGTATAGCAATACAGGTGAGAACAATACGTATGCTTGTCTTATATCTGCCGAGTGATGCAGAAGATGAAGTGATATATATATTTATTAAACCATTCACATTAATACCAATCTTGCTTGCTGTTGAGCCAAATGCCAAAAGAAAATATCGAGAAACGAGCATCTGAAAAAGAGCTTTAGAGTTATGTCGACAAAAGGAAGAAAAATGTAGAAAGAATGAAACTCGTTGATCAATACGCACAAACACTCATCGACATCTTACACAGGAAACGTGGAAAATGCGTAAAAAATTATGTCTGCAGCAAAAACAGAAACAAAAATGTTTATGAAACCTGTCTCGTGGTATAAATGTCTCTTTCGTATACAAACAAAATCTTCTGAAGGAGCACGTGATGATAAGTCAAATATCGATGATAAAAAGGAATCTTGTAACAAACAATTATGAGGGAAAAATACTCTCAACAATGCATACCATGTAGTTATCTAAATACAACACAACTAAATGAAAGAAAGGGAAAAGGCTAGACATACATATGTAGGAACCCGACACTTTCTTCAGAGTTCCCCTGACGTTCTTGCAAACAAGGTCAAATTCATGTGACAGTGATTAATGAACAGCGGTCTTTTAATCCAATTGGCGTATATAATACAGGACAGTAACTCAAGAAATAGGGTAATCAAAGATGAGCTCTATAAGTACTTGTGTTTCAGACATCTTATAACAAGAAAACGTAGACTTCAAACAGAAGAAGAGCAAAGAGGAAACTATTAAAAAGAGAAAAAAGACAAAGCAGGACATAAGAGAGACAAAAAGGAGATCCAAAAAGGAAAAAAGTAATATGCAGAATTAACACCACACGCTTTCACCATGCACCAGTATACCAAAATGATATAGATATTCCACGTTATATTAATTCTCGAATTGTTTGCCACAAGAAATAATATGAATGAAATAAAAAATATATGAATTAGATAGAAATAATTGGTTTATTTCTCCAACTTATGACAATACATATTTCTGTTGAAAAAGATGAGGGTGCATTGCACAAAAGCATCGAAAAATTCTTTGACGTGGCAGAAGAGAGAGAGAGAGAAGAGGGGGAGAGCACAATAGTGACGAAATCATGATGCATAAGATCGACCCCAGGTGAGGGACGGATGCATTATAAACCATTGGACAATGCCATTGTGGAGAGTTGTAGAGATTTTTAAAAATAAATTATTGGACAGTTGTATCACAAGTTCTATGTTAAATAGTTACAGTGTTGAAAGACATTCAGTTTATACATGCATCTGATTTGTAAAAGGATCTTTTTTCAAAAGAATATATTTCAAACGAAAAGGATATATATTCGATCATATCATTTTGAAACTTTTCCGAAATTTACTGAACAATCGGTATTGTTAAGGTTAAAGGATGAAAACAAAAGTACATATAATACAGTTTTACGTTAGTACCTGCATTACCGCTTTGTATTAGTACATATATGTATTGCCGTTTACACAAGTATATGTAATGTCTTTTAAATAAAAACACGTGTTGTCGTTTTACAAAAGCATATGTATTATCTTTTAAATAAAAACATGTATTACTGTTTTACATAAGTATATGTAATGTCTTTTAGATAAAAACGTGTTGCCGTTTTACATAAGTATTTATATTGTGTGTAAAAATAACATGTATTACCGTTTTACATAAGTATGTGTATTGTCTTTTAAATAAAAACACATGTTGTCGTTTTACATGTATTACTGTTTACGCCTACAAAGTGCTAGGGCCTGTTGTTCATGTTTCAGTGTGTCTTAACACTTAGCAATAATGGTGCTCGACTTAAACGCAGGGACGGCTTCTGAAAGGTAGCTATATGACTTTGATATACTTTTTTAGGTTAATGATGTCAAATATAAGTATATTATTCTCTGTATGTTATTCTGGGAAATTTTATTAAGAAATATCCATTAACAGAACGCCTCGAGATCCTTCCTATCGCTATAAAGACAAATGATAAAAATGAGGGAAAGAGAACTCTATTTATGAAATTCAGACAATAAAACATTGTTTCAGGGACTTACCAGTCGCCGTAACGATACTCTAACATACCCTTTCTTCGTTTAGGGTAAAAATGTTCCGTACTAATAAAATCGCCCCAGAATGGGAAATTTTCAACTACTGTTAAGTTACTGGTTAATGGCAAATGTTAAACAAGTGACATATATGTAACCAACTGGCAGTGATTTACAGGTTCTTAGCGTTAATTCATTATATATTTCTATCGCAGGCAAATTCAATAAACATAACATACTGGTGGTATTAGAGTATAAAGAAAGTAATTTAATCCCCAGAGTCAAACCCATCGATGAAAACCCCAAGTGTACTGACAGATTTTCATTTGTGCCTATACCTTAACTTGTAAATATTCTCTTATTAAGGATTACATAGAAACATATTTCGTTCGTATTTGTTGAGATACATATATATTAATAGGTATATTTTAACTAATGAACAAATAGACCGTAAACACACATGTATTGTTTTCGTTATTTCATAAATAGGTAGAAAATCAGCTCAAAACTATTGTTTTATCTATATATAGATGATATACACACAGCTATTGTTATCTATATATAGATGATAAACACACAGCTAATGTTATCTATATATAGACAGAACATAAACACACAGCAAATGTTATCTATATATAGACAGAACATAAACACACACGTACTGTTATCTATATATAGACAGAACATAAACACACAGCTATCTATATATAGACAGAACATAAACACACAGCTAATGTTATCTATATATAGACAGAACATAAACACACACGTACTGTTATCTATATATAGACAGAACATAAACACACAGCTAATGTTATCTATATATAGACAGAACATAAACACACAGGTAATTGTTATCTATATATAGACAGAACATAAACACACAGGTATTATATAGACAGAACATAAACACACACGTTATCTATATATAGACAGAACATAATATAGACAGAACATAAACACACAGGTAATTGTTACAAACACACAGGTATTGTTATCTATATATAGACAGAACATAAACACACAGGTATTGTTATCTATATATAGATCGAACATAAACACACAGGTATTGTTATCTATATATAGACAGAACATAAACACACAGGTACTGTTATCTATATATAGACAGAACATAAACACACAGGTATTGTTACTTATAAATATACCGAATATAAACACACAGGTATTGTTACTTATAAATATACCGAATATAAACACACAGGTATTGTTATTCATAAACAGACAGAACATAAACACATATGTATTGTTATTTATAAATAGACAAAATGCCATTCTTGGTAAACATGAAAAGTAAAATTAATCAGATGAAAAATAACAGGAACTTACTATTTTTCTTATACAATAGAATCTCCACTTGTTCTTGTTCCACACCTTCAAAAGACTGTTCTATTTTTAGAACTGTGTCTTGGTCTGTTAAATCACCGTACATAAAACTACACGTGCAACTTTTCTGCATGACTTCCGCTCGGTTATATCCTGAGAGTTTACAGAATCCATCATTACAATATACAATAGGATACTCCACGATCCGTGCGTTCGCCAACAGAAAACTGCTATCTGTAATTAGATCAGAAATAAAACATTGTAAACAATGCTAATAACTACTCTTTAATACGTTAGAGCCTATATAACTGTTGTACATACATCTATAGACATTATCATATACCCAAAAGTACACTGATCATGAGACGACAACGTACAACTCCATAAATTGTGTTTTAAAAGGCGAATTACATATAACGTCTGGGATACATAATTGAATATTAAATGAGATGCTGTGGTGAGTGGTGATGTCGTCGGTTACCCATTAAACCTTCAACTCTTATGTCATCTGAGTAGAGCTATAAAACGTGATCTGTTTTTCGCAAATGCACTTTTAGTATTTGGCACTATGAATATTTTTTAAATACTAAACAAAAACAAAACAAAACAAAAACAATTAAAAAAAAACAAAAACAAAAAAAAAGAAATAAAAAAAAAACAAAAAACAAAAACAAGCAAATAAAAACATTAACAAAACGAACCAGATTTAACAAACGCTTTACTGATAGACGAGAAATCACAAGGATCTGACTAGAAAGGGGAACACATTTTTAGCGTTAATAAGTAAAACATTATTAAACATTCAGATGAAAACGGATTACCGTAGGTAACAAAATTTCAGTAATTTTGTGGTAAGATTTTGCACAATGATTTGTTGCAAACGTGAACTTTTCTGTTCTACGACTGGTGTGTGACAACAAAAACGTACTACCGTCACAACATGTTCCTTTGGTAAGTGTTTTTATTCGCCTTATTTTGAGTGGATATTACTGTCATGTCAGCTATTTCACGTTACTATAAAAGATGGCCAGAGAAAAATCACGAAAATAACCAATTGAATATTATATATATCTGTGTATATTGTATATCAATTTTAAACTGATTCAAAATTAATTCAAAAATATATCTTAATTTCATATACTTTCCTTTTTAAAATTCTTTTGCTGTATATAACAATTCCATCAGAACTTCGAATTTAAAAAAAAAGAAGAATATTGGGGCTAATAAGGTCTAATTATTTTCACAGAAAAACAGGTGCTTTCTATATAAACCATCAACCAGTCTTGGAATGTTTTTATTTTGTCGTATCTTAATCCTGGTATACTTATCATTTCATCTCCTAGTACAAACATGCACACTACTGCTGAAGTAGTTTTTATTTACACCTATATTGACATAGATGTAATTGTGATAGCACTATGTGGAAAGGAAAGAGGCTGACCGAATGGTAGCTGTCTTTTCACATATCAATATATTATAAACAAGTCGAGGTGACCGAATGGAAGCTCTCTTCTCTCATATCACTACACTATAAACAAGTCGACTGTTTGCTATTCATTACCACTCTTCATATGATTTCGTTGTTAATTCATCATGTGTTGCTTGGTAACAAAAATATGTAATATGAAGCCGATTATGTTTTTTTTCTCTTAATCTGTTCTCATCCGCGACTCTGCCTCGAGCGACTGTTCCACTAATACATACAATAGCAGCAGCAGCAGCAAATTAATGATTTTTTTCTCATTAACATAAGGTTTTCATACCGGCAGTCCATCCAATGTTGGACAATTAGACGGTATGTCACCAAGTGTGCTCTGAAACTCACGCAAGTTACAGGGGCCATGGATGATATGTCACCAAGTGTGCTCTGAAACTCACGCAAGCCACAGGGGCCATGGACGGTATGTCACCAAGTGTACTCTGAAACTCATGCAAGTTACAGGGGCCATGGACGATACGTAACCAGTATGTTACCAAGTGTTCTCTGAAATTCACGCAAGTTACAGGGGGCATGGACGATACGTAACCAGTATGTCACCAAGTGTTCTCTGAAACTCACGCAAGTCACAGGGGCCATGGACGGTATGTCACCAAGTGTACTCTGAAACTCATGCAAGTTACAGGGGCCATGGACGATACGTAACCAGTATGTCACCAAGTGTTCTCTGAAACTCACGCAAGTTACAGGGGCCATGGATGATATGTTACCAGTACGATGGTTCTTAAATACATCACCAGGACGATATCTATACTTCGTGTTATAAACGTTGGATAAGTAGACTATTGGAAAGAAAATTATTTCTCGGAAAGCATTATCAATTTTCTGATGAAACGTTCATTAAACCTCAGTTATATAAATAATGTTGATTATTTCCATTCTACCATTCACAAGACTGCTTTCAGGTGGCTTGAATTAAACACGGAGAAAGGAAAACGCTTCTGTCATATAATGGACTTCTGACGGCGATATTTTAAATATCCTGTAGATGACAGAGGTCCGAACACACCTTCCTAATCTGTTGGTCATTGATCATTCATTCAAATATATTTATTGATTCAAATAAACAGAACCAAAGGGACTTACTAGGCCCTCTCCTGCCAAAACAATACATACCTAAAGATATAACGTGATGGCAAAATTTCAAATATACAAACTACTAATGAAAAAAGTCGAAGTGGCAGCGAAAGAACGAGACAGGAGGGTCAGGTGGGTGGGGTTTCTGGTTACAGTAGCTGTCCACTGGTTAATATCAAACCTCTTATTTGATTTAATAAATGACTACAGCGAGTTCTATATTACTATTTGTATCACAAGGAAGATCATCGTCTCCCCATATGGGAATACCCAGTTGGAGGCTGGATACATACCAATGTTTTGACAGAGCATCAAAAATCTTATTTTAGGATGAGAAAATATTGAACCGACGAAACAATAATGGTACACATCTTCATTACATTCATGGTACACCTACACAGAACAAACCACTCTAATATGTCGGTCATTGATCAGCTGGTATGATGGTACACCTCCACAGAACATACCAACCTTATCTGTCAGTCATTGATCAGCTGGTATGATGGTACACCTACACAGAACATACCACCCTTTTCTGTCAGTCATTCATCAGCTGGTATGATTGTACACCTCAACAGATCATACCACCCTTATCTGTCAGTCATTCATCAGCTGGTATGATTGACACCTCCACAGATCACACCACCCTTATCTGTCAGTCATTCATCAGCTGGTATGATGGTACACATCCCAAGAACATACACCCTTTTCTATCAGTCAATGATCAGCTGGTATGATGGTACACCTCAACAGAACATACCACCCTTATCTGTCAGTCATTGATCAGCTGGTATGGTGGTACACCTCCAAAGAACATACCACCCTTATCTGTCAGTCATTGAGCAGACTACATACTTTGACGTAGAATACCATATACATTTATTGTATACTAAAGAATTACAGTAACAACTGAACGTTGAGCTGTAGTAAAATACAGACGCTGGTTAACCAAATGTGTATTCAATTCTCGATAATCAATATAAGCAAATTACAGGTAACATATCATATACAGATGGTGGTATTAACGGGGTTTTACATAACAGGATAAAACGTTCTGCAAAAAATGATCACGATATGCGGAGTTGGTGATAAATCGGGGAGTGGTGTACCCAGACAATGTATCACACACCCGTATATCTCTACAGGTACAATTATACTGCGATCTATACCTGTAATGCACACCTTTAGCGTAAAATATTATGTCAAAAGTTTCCCTTGTTCTGAATGGAATGAACAGCAAGATCATAGGCTGTATATACCCGGAATATGCTAGGGACACATGACTTTGAGAATAAGTTGTGATTTTCTTATTCAAGCGTTTAATTTCATAAAAAGGTTTTAGAATTTTTTGTATTCTGTTAAGAAAATAAAAAAAAATTGTTGATTATTAAGTTTTTGTCTGAATTTTGTCAAATCAATTTTAATATAAGATTATTTCACAAAAACATACAAGACAGTTATCAGATTAATAGTACTTGTAATTAAAAATTAAGGTCAATCACACGGCTAGAAGCATATTGTCAAACATGTGAAAAAAAATGCTACCTAAACCTGCAAGTGTACATGAATGAAAGGATTTTAACACAAAGTATTTTCAGTAACTGGATGAGAAAAGGACAGCAAAATTCAGATCTGTCGCTGAAGCGAAAGTGAACGAAATAAGCAAGACAGTCGGTGCCACAGAATATTATCTTAATCTTGTGGGCAACGCAAATAGAAGACTGCAGGAGAAAATTATACTCTCCCTTGCTCTGGAACTATGGGGAGGGAAATGGGACCTAGTGTTTTAAGGGACAGACAGAGACATAAAAGAAAAATTGGGTAACACTGACCGGCTGACTTGTAATGATTAAATCTCCAAAGATGGGAGAAACAGAAATTAACAATATGCTCTTCCAACCAGACCAAATGGTTATGTGGACAAATGTAACATCATAGCTCGTATCTTATCCTACATGGATCGTAATTCTGTCTTTAGTAAGGTGATGTGAACTTTAGAACATGGCTCTGGAATTTCGGTTGTACATAATTAACCACCAGACCTAGCAATATTTCTTAATGGTCTTTTGGTATTAAACATCTGTTAGTAGATCGTTTTTGGTCGTCACACAAACTCGTAAGGTAGCATTACCTGCTGTGGTATTTATAGTGTTACATAGTAACAACTATTAGATCACACATAGGAATTAGGGAGGGGAATAATGACGGAAAAACATCCACATTGTCAACTAATAAAATCCATGTGTCTGCATTTATACAAAATGCCAATTATCACTGTAGATTGTTGCCATTGTAGATATATGATAGCACTATGACTAGTACTAATTACATAGGACTGCCAGTACGTAAATAATGATAGTTTTAATGTTTACAGGAAAAGTAAATACAGGTATGAGTTAATGGTATTAGTTGGTACCAATAGCAAAGAAGAGTCACAGTGAAGGCAGAAATCGGGCTATAATGATTTGCTTTTTTTAACGCTAGAAATAGAGATGTGGAAAATTTCATTTAAGAATACCATTGAATGTGAAAAATATAAAATCATCATAGACCCTCTTGGTCACTATATGATATCAGATATGGCAACAAAACCAGCTCACTTTTGTAGCTATATGTATTCCTAACAATGGCAGACCTACATCACAGTCGGTACGAGACA